TGTATGCCTTTTAACTTCTATACTTATTATAGAATGTTTAGGATTTAGAATATAAATGTTATTTGTAACTTACCATACCATAAATGTCTTAATCAAGATAAACATGAACATCAATTGTTCTCAACATTAAAACAATTCATGTCCAAACATGAAATTTATTTAATGTTCCAATTATGGTGGGTATCAAGTAACATTTTTCTAATTCCAATACTAAGCCTAGAGGCAATAGCAAAAAATATACTCCTACAGGCAATGCAACAACCTTTGCTCATTTTCAACGTATAGGTCAGCTCTTTCCTTTTGCAGTGATCTACTTCTTTTTAGTTTCTCCATTTTTGTATAAATATGAGATTCACATCTAGTATCAAATACCTAAGAAACTCATGAAGTAGATGTAAGCCTTGCAATATTTCTTCCAATAACATTTTCATTTTATAATGAAAATAATGGTCATTAGACTTAGTATTTGTCCTTTGCTTTGACCGTCTAAGCCATATTGGATGCTTTCTCCAAAACTCCTTTAGACTTCCTCTTAATACTTTTGGAGGAATCAATGGCTTGCCCACTTTTAACTTTGATATCGGACTTAATAGTCTTAATCATGTTAAGCAACTTAATGAGTATGCATTCGAACTTATTCATATCATAATTCATAATTAGTATGAATAACTTTATGACAGAGATTACAAAACTAAGTCAACACTTAGTTCATAGTTCATGATTGAACCTAATTGAGACTACTACTTAATGCCTAATCATCTTCAATACTGACTGAAGATTCATCAGTCATTTTGCATCAGTACAGTTGCTTGGAAGTCTCGTATCCTTCTTTACATGGTTATTATCATACAACTTTTTGAAATGAAAAAATCATGGTTAGCATTTATACTCTCAAGTTTCTTTTGTAACTCAGGTTACGTAATGTAAACATCACATATGTTGCATCACTATTCTCGTCACCTTGTTATTATAGTAGTCACATTTTCCTTAATTGAGTCATCACTAAGTGTCTCTAGATAATGGCTACTTAAAAACAACCAACTTTCTTATGTCTGATAACAATTCTCAAATTGTAGTACCAATCAAGAAGATTTAATTTGGTTATTGACATCCAATATGCCTCTCAAATATACATGGTTACTCTAGATTCAATATATAACTAATGAAAAAAATAATATATAAAATGCATCGATTAATTTAACATGGACTTTTATTAAATTAATTATGCTCCTACTGTTTAACTCAAATTTATGACCCTCTCACATAAATTTATGGAATCAATACTTGACTCTCAGTGAGCTGGGATCCCATTTGTTATATTAAGACCTTGAGTATACTCAACAAGCCTTAATAAAACATTTAGATAGATATTATTATCGTTAATTTTAATAAATAATGTGTGGTTGAAAAGAAAAGGGAGAAAAATGTATTTTGAAAAAAATGGGTACCAAACGGGGCCTTAATATTTTATTGAGGGGTTTTGCATTAAAAAAAAAAATATATATATATATATATATAATGGTTTTGTATTCCCAATTCGAAATTTGTTAAAACCTAAAACTTCTTCTCCCCATACATCTTGTAGGGACAACGGCGTGCGTCGGCGCTGTTAGCAGCGCAGTCGTGCACTGCTGCTACTTGGACAGCAGCGCCGATGTTGCGTTAAATAGGAGAGACGCTTGCTCGCTGCTGCTGTTGACAGCGGTGAACACTTCTGCTTGAGCATCGGAGGATCGATTTCCAATCGGCGGTCGGTCTGCCCCACCGCCGCTATACAAATCCGACAGTAGCAGCTGTTCGACCTTCCTCTTTTTTCTTTTTTTTTCTTGTTTTGTTGTTTCAAAATCAAATTTTGAAATTATGAAAACTAATTTTTTTTCTTAATTGCTAGATCCATGAAAAATGTATAACAATCAACTTTTGACCATTTAAACATGTAAAACAATTTCTAGCAAACATTAAAAATGTTCTAATACCACTGTTGGGAATCTACTTAACATGCGCAGCGAAAATTAAAACAATTTTCGATTCCTACCAGGAATCGTCTTTATGTTTAGATAGGAATTGTGATAAAGATTGTATCTTTTACGAGATCTGCAAACTTTTTGCTTTGATTCTGCAAACTCCTTTGTAATTCTTTGTTCCAACAATCTTGATTCGCCATCCACAACTGTCCAATTGTCTAACCTCCAAGGTGATCCACACAGATAACAAGTTTGTAGGATTAAGATTTTTTTCTCGTGCTAGCAAGAAAAATGAATGTTTTCTAAATTTTGAAAACCCTAGTCATATTTATATAAATCCGAACGGGCTTGACCTGACTCGCTCCAATATTTAATTAACCCATTTAATTAAATTCTGCTCGTGAATAATTAATTAATTGAGCATAAGCCTCCGTTTGGTCCCCATTCCATTATATTTCATTTTTCTCTCTCCTATTATCAACCACACAATCTTCTATAAAATAATATTACACGTAAATCAAAAAAATTTCCTTCTTTTTTAACCACTCATTTAAAAAAAAAACTATTCCACAAATCTTCATTTCAAAAAATGAGGGCTAAACGGGGGCTAAATAAGCAACCCAATTAATTAATTTATCAAACGTTTGTTAAATTAATTAATTGACAGATCACAACCTTCCAGTTCTCCTTTTGTGTGCGACCCATTAGGTTCCCGATCATGATACCTAACGACGTAAAATATTATTTTGATTTAATCAAAATTGATAAATTAAATCACCATTCTAATTTATCATCAATTCACACTCGCCGTCCCAAATTGACATCTAGTAATGTGTCAGGGCAATACATGTGACGAAAAATATCACGTGGTATGACAAAATCAAACTCGTTCGTTTACTATGAAACTATAGTCTCTTCGTCAATATAATCCGATTAATTACTAGATATGGAAGTGTGTCAATCTCGATTATCGATCATATCTTTCACTCTACTATTAAGTCAATATAAATCAAAAACTTCTTTTCAACTTTTGAGTACGCCCTGGCCAAGAATTTCGCTATCCACTTAATTGAGTGAAATACAAATCATAATATCTTACAATCTAAAAATAACGAATCATCTATTGGTCATTCATAACCTTCATATGATTCTTGAAATACCCGAACGTTACCGTATTAGCGGCCCTTGGCAGAGTAACATCCAACACCGTCAAAGCATGACTGTTCTCATATAAGGCACTATGACGTCCTCAAGTCAAAGGACTAATTTCACTATCGAACATTAGAGATTAACCATTGATACTCAGATAGTTATCCATGTGAAATCTCTCGGAGAGTCTCCAATGTTTTGTTATACAACAAAACATCCACGTATTTATTTAAGTGTCACTACACTCTAATTTGTGAGATCAACTACTTACTTCACAAGTAAAAAATGTCACACGTGATAATCTATTTGTAATAACAATATTCGTATCTCATTATTATTTACAACCACGAACGATTTAAGATTCAATCATATGTAATTTGTATCTCACAATAACAACTCCTTATGATTAACAAATTATCAAGATTTGAATTTACAGACTCTATTATTTAATTTAATTGAATATAATTAAATAATAGGTCGCCATAAAATTACATTAATTATATATTAAAAGTATTTATGTTCAAGGTTGATTGGACCTAGAACATAACACTTACAATATTTAGATCATTAATTTTCATCTTTTACAAGAATTAATGATCAACGTGAATATTTAATTTGTGCAAGTATTATTTAAAGAGAAATGCTACATGTATAGAAAACATTTACATACTAATTTACCGGTTCACAGGTAACGGAAAATTATTGAATTTTGGACAAAAAGCATAGATAACAACGTTCATATATTAGTACAGAATTGATTAACTTCCAGAAAATTTTTTTACTATATTTGGTTCTTTAATTTTCATCTTAGACAAGAATTAATGATAAACGTTTAATTGAGAATTAAAGTATTTCAATAATTATTGTTTTACAAGCCTAGTGCCATTTGTAGGTTTATGTTTACGGCAAATCTACAATTTTTTAACATCAGAAAAGGATATGTGCAAGTAATCATAATATTATCATAAAAACTATAAGATGCACCACAGGACTGACATCTCCTCGTGAAATAAAATGTTTAATCCTTCAGAATTTGATACGAAATGTGAATTCCTTAACGATCCGAGTGTACAAAAATATTTAGAATGATATAGAATGAATATTTGATTTCTGCTAGTATTATTTAAAGAAAAATGCTACATGTACAAGACAAATTTACAAACTAATTTATCTTGTTACTCCCTCCGTCACACACACACATTATTATTATTATTATTATTATTATTATTATTATTATTATTATTATTATGGACGTCCGAACCAACTCACGTGCATCTCGACTAATTTTCACTGGGCCTTGAAGTTTACAGCCGAGTACTCACCTCAATGGCCCTGAGAGGACTCAAACGATGACCATTGGGGAGCAAACCTAAGACCTGACGACTAAGCTATCCTTCTCCCTCCATCACATTTATATAGACTGAATTTATTTTTCACACGGATTAAAAAATTATATTTGTACAATTTCAAGATTAAGTGGAGAAAATTAATTATAACTAAACAAATTAAATAAGGATAAATTAATAAACGAGCAAAACAAAATATTCTCAATATATAATTGGGACGAGAAGATAAGAAAAATCAACCTATATAAATCGGACGGAAGGAGTATTTAAAATTGGACAGCATATGTAAGTGTATTTGAGTCACACTATTTTGAAAGAATGTATTTTGAAAAAGTAAATTGATGGATAATGTGTGGTTAAAAATGAGGAAAATTTTTGGTTATGCGTGTAATATTATTTTATTAAAAAATATATAATTGAAATAATGTAAAATCACTATTTAAAAATGTATTTTTTTTTTTTAAAGAATGCAGCTCAATCAGGTGCTAAGTATTTTCTCATAAGTCATAATACTCACCCTTTTTTCTCTCCAACTCACAGGTTAAACTAGTTGCTGTGCAATTTCCCATTAAAGGAAATTCATTTTAGAAACAAACCAGGTTGGAAATTTAAGGCGTTACAGAATATATCTGCCACTAAACAGAAGCAAGGCGGAATATGACAAGAGGCTGCCCTGAACTATAAAAATTGTTCCAAAAAAAAAAGAAAAAGGGCTTTTCAATTACTAACCTATCATAGTAGAGAAGATGAAGAAAATACAATGTCTTTGACTAGATGGAAACTCAAATCACCTCGCTTATCTGATTTTTCGACACAGAAAGGTAAGAATCTTACATATACTCGTCAAAATCAGGAGCAAGTGATTTACTACTTGGCTTCAAGAAGAATCGATGAATAAGGAGCAATATTATACGAGTTCTGAATGCCAGCAACACCTTCACAAACAAAATCATTGGGAGACTCAAGATTGGTGTCCACCTGAAATCATAAATTCTCCACTCAGCAAATCTATTAGGGGTATGTAGAATGTTTAAACTTGTTAATCTCTGATTCAAGCTTTCTTGATTGTGTACAAAGAAAAGACATTGGTACAAATGCCTCAGCTGTACTAGTAAACATCCATTTCGAAGCAAATAAACAATAAACTTACAAAGAAAGCAGTTATATAAAGTTCCGTTGGTTAGTAATGAATAAAGGGTAGAAAACTAACCACTCGAAACCAGCGTTTGTCTTTTGGTGGTGACGGTATTATAACTTTAACATAAAAGTCATGTGCATTGAAAGCCAAGTAAATGTCTCCCCTATTTTCATCATGAATCCTGCAAATGATTATGCATGTTTGTGAGGAGAGTAACTATATGGTTGTTTATAATATGTACTCACATGTTAGAACATTTCCAAAAGATTCTCTATTTTAAAGAAGCATATTCTATAATCTAAAGAGCATATATAAATTTAAAGAGTAAAAATTTTGAAATAGTTCAATAGGCTCTTTATATTTAACAGTTAGATTTACAACTTCCAAAAAATATTTATTATTTTCTCTATCTTCTATTTTAATTAACTTTATCTCGAGATCATTATATTATTACATTGAAAATTAAAATACTTTGAATGCATTTAATTATAGAGAGTATTCTCTAAATTAAAATGATAAATCAATGAGTCTCTTGAAGCGGGATTTTAAAGATTAACTATTTAAAATAAAGAATATCTCATGTTTGAAGAATCTCTTGAAGATGTTCTAATATATGACTGGGACCCTGACATGGCCTGCTCGTAAGACTAAGTAATGCAGCTATCAATAACAGAGGCTTTTATTTTTTATTTGATTTATTTTTTTCTTTTTTACTATAGGCAATATGATAAAAGAGTGATTTATTTGAGGGCAAAGATAAACAAACTTGCAAGAACAAACAATTTTAGTCTCATCATAAAGAATACTTAATGTCTTAAGGTTAGTGGTTTGATGAAAAAATTTATATATATATATATATATATATATATATATAAATGAAAACATTATATGCACCAAGTAAAGCTCATTCACATAATCCTTACCATTTCAGTGATTTGTGTACATAGATAATCTGTATAGAAGATGTTGAAGATATGGAAATAATACTCTCCATGATATAGTGAGATTATTTTCCTTCGGAATTGATTGCGTGATGATCGCACATTCTTTCCTTTTTAGAGCTAGATGTAAACTTATAAATATGATCTTTTACTTTGTGATAGTTAGACAAGCTTATTATACACAATTTATAATTTCAACAGTAGACTATGGAGTGTTACTTACGTAAATGCAAGGAATTTACTCTCAAGGTTTTCCCAGTTGTCCTCATGCCATGTAATATCCTTCTGCAATATAAGTGTGTTGGATGAACCTCGTAAGAACCAGTTGTAGCACTTAAAGCAACCTAGTTAACCCTAAACTTGAAAGCATCTGAGTGAAGATTTAGAAAAATCAAGAGATGCTGCAAACCATATTTCATATCATATCTTTGACAAGTCAACCAACAATATACATCTTTGCTAGTCAACAGGTGAAAAATATCATTCTTTCTAAGTTAAGTTGTACTTTATGAGAATGGATACTCAAGTAGGAGTTTTGTAACCACAGGCATTAGTGATGCCAGTCACCAGTCTTTCCACTTACGGAGTGGCAAGGTAGAATGCTAACCTTCATCCTAGATCAATCAATTTTACCAGGTAAAGAGCCTACATTGTACTCAAAATGCTGTACTACATATATAAATATGTTGATTATGCCTCCATTAGCTATGAAACATGAACCAACCACAAGATAAGCCATTTGGATTTTGTGCCATTAACACCATATTAGAGACCCAAAAATCTATGAATGTTGATTTTAATGTTCTATTGCCGAATTAATGCTCAGCTTCCCAAAAAGAATCTCTTCACACTAACTTTGTGGTTGTTCCATTTACTTCACGTTTATTTGTGACATAAAAAGACGTGTTGTGGGTATCAAGAGTAGTTTGAAAAAATTGATTGAAATGAAGTGTTCAGAAATTCATTTTAGTCAATATAGAAATTGAATGAAGGTATTAAATTTGGGTCTTAGGAAACAGCACCCAATCTTTAGCTAACTGGTTTGACTTTGACAAGATAAAGTGCATTAAAACATGCCAACCTATCGACTTATTATTCTTGTGAACTACAAACAAAAGAAAACTAATCTTTGGCCTTAAATGTTTCTCCTCACACACATAGTAATACAAGATTCATCAATTCACTACCATAAAGCATTGACCCTCTAGAAAGGAAAATTATGACAAAGAAAGTAGTATCTTAACTAACTATTCAGAACAAGAAGACGAAGCAGAAAAAGATAAAAAGATGTTTACATCATGGAGGCTAAATAAGGGATTCAGATGCTATAAAATTTTACCTTGCCAATAAAATTTTCTCGCCTGAAGACTCCATGTGTGTTGCGAAACTTTATCACCTCTGAGAAAAACCTGAAGTGGTTGTTTTTCTTGGATTCCAGCTGTTTCATCGATTTCCCCTCTAAATAATTTTTTATCTAGGACAGATACAATCAGAATCTAAAAAAAAAAAAGATATGTATAAAATACATACTTGATCCCACTGGAAATGATTAATAGCAGTATCATGGCCATAGCTGTTATTATTTCCATAACGAGTATGAGCATATTCATCCCCCATAACCATCATTGGTGTTCCCTAATTACCAAACAAGTAAATTTCCATTAACAGTCAATGTTAAATGACAACTGATTGCCACATCAACAAATTGAAGTTTTGAACAAATAAGAAGGCATTTCTGATTGATCTGATTTGTCTTCTGAATTTAAATTTAGCATTACTGAAACTTTTTGTGCATTAGATTGTTAAGCCTATTAGGAGGCTAGCTGTATTGTGAAAATTTATTAGATTGAATCAGAATCAAATTGTATTTACCTAAATCAAATTAGAATAAAGTATAGTTATCCGAATTGAAGTATAGGTAACTGAACTAGAGTGAAAGTATAGTTACCACGAATGGAATTTACCCATTCTACAATGAAACCAAACATGAAAAAGGTTTATGCTCTATATTTCATTTAGTTTTTGTAGAAATCCTAGAGATTGATCATGACTGGTATATGATTGATTAAATATTTTCATGTAGAAATCCAAGAGATTGATCGTGATTGATATATGATTGATTAAATCTTCCATGTAGAAATCCTAGAGATTGATCATGACTGGTATATGATTGATTAAATATTTTCATGTAGAAATCCAAGAGATTGATCGTGATTGATATATGATTGATTAAATCTTCCATGTAGAAATCCTAGAGATTGATCATGATTGATATATAATTAATTTAATCTTTCCAAAACTTAGGCCAATTGTTAGGCTAATTACTTGTCTCCTAAATTAAGAGATTACTTTTCCGTTTTTTTATCTTAATTATTGTAGTATTAAATAGGGTGTAATAGGGGTGTATAATTCATTCAAGAAATACAGAAATAAGTCAGTCTGATTTCAGGTTTCCACATTGAAATCAAACACGCATATAAACTGAACCATGAATAAAATAAATTACTGCTATTCTCTTCTTCTAAAGCTGATAAGAAACACATGATACATATCCTTATGCTTGAAGACAGGAAAAACATAACGGATAGAAAGTCCTAACGAAAATAGCAGTGATCAAATAATTCGCTTTTATCTCAAATAGTTCTGCTTTCAAACATGATTGCCAAAGTTACCTATCATAGAGAAAGAGAAAATAACCACTTCAGAAATATCTTACTAATCATTATCCAGTTTTACCTGGGATGTCATCAGTGCTAAATGAAAGTTCTTCATCTGTCGGAAACGTAGTGCCTTAATAATGGTATCTTCTGTTTCTCCTGATCACAAAACAAAAGAATAGTAACACAAATTCCTAGCTAATTGGTATAGTAATCGCTTAGAAAAGATAAAAAGTTCACTATAGAAGTTGGGAGAGGGAAGCAATGACAAGTCTTGCAGTTTTCAAGAGCATATCAAAAGAAAGAAACCTGGTGATGTGAACCTGACAACCAAGTCATCATAATCTTATCCAAAGTACATTGTTACTGTCAAGAATAATTTGTTGGGGCTTGTTCAAAAATAAATAAATAAAATTTGTAAGGGTATGCAGGTTTATATCTGCATATATTCAATGAACCATTCTGTCCTCTATAGGATACGACTCTGGAGGTCCTCCTAAGAATGCTTAATAAATGTAACTCCCACATCTCAAACTATTCCTTTTATTCTAGACCTGCATCTCAATCATTCTCATAGTTCCTAATGCTAGCTAGCACCTGTATATGACAAGTTCCTATTTAGATGGCTGTCAATTTATAGCGACGTAATTGCAAATACTTGTGTTCCAGGAGTCTGCTAAGTTGACTTAGACACTGATTAGCTCTAAATTACAAGAGCCATAGGATCAAAATCATGTTGAACACCATGTCTAGTTTTCTGAAATTTTGTGAGGCAACAACCAATACTAGCATACACAAAATGACAAATTCAATTGGTGCTTGACCCTCCATGTGAAGAAAAGATTTCACCGGTGTGTAGGATAACATGGAGAAACAATTTCTAGTAGTAAAATAATCATGCATCATATCAGCCAATGGCAAAATATGCTAGTGTGCACAAGAAAATACATCATGATAAAGCTGTCCCTATCCCACACTTTAGATGGGAACTAATTCTACCTTCAAACCCACAATTCCAGCTAAAATTGTCATTACTTCCATCCTTTCCACCCTCTCCATTGGCATCATTGTGCTGCAGTTTCAGGGGGAAAAAAATAGTTGCTTTCTTCAGGGTTTCTATAGTCACACACACACACATAAAGATTAGAATTTTCTATACATAAATGTATATAAAATACCTTATTATTGTAGGACACAAGGTCGTAGAGAGTAAACCCATCGTGTGAACAAATAAAATTGACACTATGGTAGGGCTTGCGCTTGTTCACCTACAAAAAAAATCACAAATGATAATTGAACTCGAACCTCATAGACAAATACATCTTAGCATTAATAAATTAAACGATCTACCATTTATAGCTTAATTAGCCCTTGTTCTACAACCATTATTTCAAAAATCATTATTCAACATACTCATTTTCAACCATACGTCACACAATAAAATATTCTGCACGCAAGCCAAAAACTTTTCCCTCCTTTTTAACCACTCTCTCCAAAAATTTACTATTCAAAATTTTGTTTTTGTCAAATAAAGGCCATCAAACTTCTGAACGTCATTGACTGAAGAGTTCAAAATGGACCTACAGCTCTCTCTCGAAGCAAAGAATAATTTCTTCCCATTTTTAGTAACTTGTAGGTCAATTTTTGGAAATAATAAGTCAATAAAAACACAACATGCACCCCACAAAAAAAAAGTCAATATAATGATATCTCAATGATACACAATTTGCCACCTAGAAAGGCATATAAATATGCCTTATTGCTTAGGCGAACATAAGAGCATGAGAAAGATTATTAAACAAATGCCATGTCTCTAATAAATTGAATCACAAAAGTCAATTTTAAATACATGCTACAAGACATGACTAAGATTTGGAAAGCTTGAAGCAAGTGTTGAAGTAATATTTAAACAAATAAATGTGTCCCCCTCTCCAGCAAATTAAGGTCACAAGGCAATAGTGACATATATCTTAGGATGCTCATACCTCATCGTTAATGTTGGAAAGCCCAACTCTATAAAAATCATAGACCAAAAGCCCATACTTTCAATGTGGGATTCAAGCCCCGTACCTTGCAATGAGAACTATGACAATCCACCGCGCTCAACGATCCTTGCATCCATGTCGAACTGGCTTTACACTAACACACGATTAGTCCCGGATGAGCACTGCTATGCTAACTATTTGTGCCACTCAATTGCAACCAGCAAAGATACCGACATAGCAGTATTCGTCAGTTCGACATGGGCATCAGGATCGCAGAGCATGGTAATTTGTCATGGTTACCATTTCAATGTGCAGAACTTGAATTCCACATCGAAAGTATAGACTTTCGGTGTATGATTTATATAGACTTGGGCTCTTCAACTTCAAGAGCTAGCTCTTGAAGTATGACTCTCTAAACATTTATATAAATGGGTATCAAAGCAGGTATCACGTCTTCCAGTTGCAATCGAGCGGTGTAAATGGTGACACTGACATAGCAGCATTCATATGGGACTAATCATGGGCTAGTACAAAGCCAGTCTGACGTGGGAGTTGAGATTACGGAGTGTGATGGATTGTCATGGTCTTATTGCAAGGTATGGAACTTAAATCCTACATCGAAAGTATGGATTTGCAGTATACGGTTTATATAGACTTAGACTCAAAAACTTCAGCAGCTAACTTTTGAGATATGGCTCTTCTAAGATCTATATTAGGCGGCTAACATGTTATCAGGACCACTTAAAAGACTTGATTTCAAGCCTCCCTACTATTCATTTATGAAAAATTGTGTATGTGTTAAGCTTTTGATGAATATATATTAAATTCATAAAGTGAACAAGATATTGGAAACACTTGGAGCTGGTTGCATGTGGCCGCACGTGTTTAAAAACAGGCTTCCGACTGTCCAGTAAGGAGGTTCACTTTTAGAGATGGGAATTCAATAATATCTTGGGTGTAAAGAAAACAGTGGGAAAACCATACTAGTAACCTAAACAAATAAGAAGAAGAAGAAAAGAAACTAATAGAAAACAGAAATATTGACTAGATAAGCACCAATATGATAACACGAAGAAAAAAAGTATTGGTCGAACAAGCGGAAGGAAGTTGGTCGGGGAAAAATGGAAGTCACTGCAAGTTCAACAAAGTCAGATAAAACTCGATGTGGTACAATCTTGGAAATCATAATGTAAAAATAGGAAGGAGAATATAATATCTATAATTCTTTAATCTTGAGAATTACGAAAAGAAAGACCCAATTTATAGTTACAAATAACCATAAAGCAAAGCTATTACTACCTCCTATAATCTTCCATGTTGATACCTACCATAAACTTCTTTGTCAATATATACTATAATATGCCCTATAAAGACTTGCCATAATGACATGTACAAAGAAAATGAAACAAGGTTGAATATACTGGGACCTCTAAATGATGATCAACAAAATTCTCTGACTTAGTTATGATTTGTCCCTCTTAAACTCACTATTCTATTGCTCAGTAGGGAGCAAGAGGAGAAATGGATATTTGGGAGAGAGCTATTACAAATTCAACGTGATCTTCTTCATCCTAGGCATGCTTATTTACATATTTCTATTCAAGCATTGGGGGTAAATGGATCTTTTTGTTTGTTAGCATGTCGCAGCTTTTAATTGAATGACGTCTATGTAATTACGTTATCTTCTTCAAGTTTTGTTCACCAGCTTAATCCTTACATTTTTGCTCAAGTATATTGGCTCGCATCATGTATTTAAGATCGCTTATGAGGTTTCTCCCTTACGAGTGATTTTTAGCTCATTTTGGGTTCGTGTGTATTTTTGGTTTCCTCAAAGTGTTTGCTCAGATGAATATTTTTTCTATATATATATAACATGTACTAAACAAGAAACAAATAAAAACCCAGTTTGTCTAGGATTTGAATGAACTTGGAAAGTCAAATCTTCTGGCACTTTCCCTCAAGCTCGTGCAAAGATATTTCTCATTCTCAACAATTTAAATTCAAGGATGACCAACTAATTACTTGTCAAGCTTGAAAATTAATTTCTTCCCTACACTGGCTGCCAAAGAGGTGGGAAATAAAATATCATAAAGTGATAATTCATCAAGTCCAAAAATCATATTCAAAGTGACAGTGTTTACCCTGTAAAGATCTGCAGAACCAGCGAACCGAGTTGCGAAGCTTCCTTTCATACCATGGTCACCCTGCATGATAATCAGAATTTAGCATGAAAATAGGTAGATAAATTTGAAGCAATTAAGAGTGACCATATAAAATAAAATGTAACACTGTTCCATTAAATTGCTGCTGCTTCCATGATTTTCAATTCAACAACTCAAAAATATGAGTTAACAGGAAGATTAGTTGGGATTTAAAATTAATAACTCTTGTTCTGTTACACAATGGTAACATAATCATTATATCGAAATTAAGTTGCTACTAAAATGGACTTAATCAAACATTTATTTGGTTTTTGTTTTTGCTTCTTTGAGATCTCAATACACGTCAATTTAAATAAAAATGGTAGATTCTATTGCTCACACCACATTCTGTGACACTTAACCTCTATTTGGTTCGGTGAGGAGAAAGAGCCACCTGGTTTGCAAAGGGAAAAGGGAGGAGAAGTCAAAGTGCTCATACCTTACCAATCCTCCATTTTTATTTCTACTGAAGGAGATAAAAGGATTAGAATGATTAAATTGACCTCAATTCAAATTCATCTACTGGGGAAAGCAAGGTTCAGCAGCATATTAGGTATAGATTTTTCTCTCTTTCTAGTAACTATTATCCTTTCCTATTGCCTACCCCATCCACTCCCTGGTGCTAAACAAGATGGGCTCAAGAATATGTACTTCCTATCAGGGACCAATTAATCCTTCCCCTTACCCTCCTCTTCACACCCTTAGAACCAAACATAGGATTTTGTTACGAGTGTCCGGAAAGAGCTTTCCGTTACTTCAAGTAAAGGGGGATCTCTGTTCAAATCTGTGAATAAAGTTAGTTATGTTAAGAATCAACTCGATTTAGGCATTAAAAATGGTCAAATGTCAATAAACGTAAGTAAACTGAGGCTGGGCCATTAATGAAGCAAATCCAGCAAAAGTAAGGACAAATAACATTGCTAGACTAATGAATTTGGGAGTACTAAAATTTTATATCTGATATAATCAACTTCCTATAACTAATTCCTGTTCTCAAACTTCATATAGCTTCATCATTTTAAACATAATCCACGATTTTATTGATGATATAAAGTTACTAATTAATTTTAAGTTAAATAATTTTGATAATATCAACAGCTAGAATTTCCAACTACCATCACCTTTATAAATCTTCTAACATCATCACGGTACTTCCCGTTCCACTCAGCCCACCTACGAAATCAAAGAAATAAGTGTACGATTGTGGGGAAACTAAATGAATGTCTAGACATAGTACAACTTCTAAGAAGAATATATAACGTTTTGAATGTTAGCCACACAAACATGGACACACTGATCTGCAGAAGAAAACCATAAAGAGACACAGAATGTTTCTGCCATTGTTGCATTTGATCTCTGCATATTATATACATTCCATAAATTTTTT